AACTTTTGAGCAACGTGTGAGAATTACTCATACAGCAGCACCTTTCAAAGGGAGTATCTTCTTATTTGGTAAGCACAGAAAATGAAGGGGAAAGGTAAATATCTTGCTTTCAGAATTCTCAGCTCAGAAAAATCAAGTACATCATGTACTCAAGGTAGAGTCAAGTGAGGCAGAGGGAAGTTCAGAGTGTTATTCAGAAGGCGGGTAATATGGGGTCAAGATGGAATTTACGAATGGAAAGATGTCCATTCCAGAATGGCATTTTGCTGTTAAGACTGTGGTCTACCCAGCTGTAACAAAGTGTTCTATGGGGACATTCATCGGTGTACTTACGAAGTGTGCAGCTTTGTTTTGTTTTGTTTTTTAGATTTTTTGTCATGGGATGTGTGCACATGGAGAGAAATGGAGAGAGAAGGAAAGTGAGAAATCCTCCCGCTCCTCGCAGGAGGACGGCCATGTCATAATCCCTTATTTTCCATTCCCCTTGGGATTCAGGCATGCATACAGGCCCAGCATGTTTTTCAATCCACTGGGTCCAGGACTTGAACCGTGGGGTTGACCATGTGGGATCTAGTGCCTAACTACCATGCCACCTGCTGTCCCAGGATGTGCAGGTTTTTAGTCTGTTCTCTCCACTATGACTTCTAACCTAGTGGCAATGTCCCGTGTAGGATGGTAAACACACATGTACCTTTATATATTGATAACCCACACAGAAGTTCCAGAGAAAAAGCTAAGTCTTATTCTGCAGTGCACTCTAATATTTAATATCTTTTCCCACATTTTTAAAAATAGATCCCATTTATAACCCATAAGTTTTTGGACACCACAATCTGAAAAACTTTATTTCAAAATAAACTGGCATTGAAATTTTGATGCTATAGCCAGGGACTCTCAACACAGTATGAGAGGAAAGATTACTGGACTTGGAATAAAAAAAAAAAAAAAAAGAAACTGAGCCCAAATCTGGGCTCTATTTTTAAACATGAAAACCACACAAACGTTATTGCCTTTGGCCCGCCATATTGCTACTGTAAAATGAGGACAATACTACCCCTATCTACCTCACAGACTTGCCAAGGAAAATTCCCCCTGGAAGTTCTCAATATGAAGCCATAATCTTTATTATGAATGTGTTTGTAAGGCGGCATGGTGGTTAAGGCAGTTGTGTCCTACAGGGCCAACTGTTTAGTTCAAGTCTCAGACCCAGTGGCTTGAAAAACATACCTGGTGCTTGTGCATTTGTGCCCCAAATCCTAAGAGGAGAATGGGTATGGGATTGCAGCATTGTCATCTCCTCATCTCCCTTGGGGGGTGTTTCACACCCTCTCTCTCTGTTCCTTGCTATCTCTCTGGCAAGCACATGAGCCTATAGCAAATTTAAAAAGCAAACAGATAGACCCAGAACTTCATCCTCTCACTGTGGATGGTTGTCAGAAGTTCATACCAGTGACAAAGTCAGGGAAGGAGGCAACAGAATGAGGCAGAGTGGAGTGAGTGAAAGAATCTCAGTGGGTGTTAGGAGGACTATATTCAAATCATGACCATGTGATTAAAATCCAGATTTTTAATATCTTGGATCTTCTATTTACTTTTTCTTGAAATTTGGAAAAATAATACATATTGTGAGGCTTTAATGAGATAATATGCAGAAAAACTTCATGCTCACAATAAATTAGTTTCCCTCTTATAAATTACCTCAGAAGCATTAACCACACTTAAGGCCAGCAAAAACATGCAAGCTTTATGACCAAGTAGATTTTGATCTATAGGACTAGGAAGTGGCGCAGCGATAATACAACCAGACCCCCAGGGAAAGGTCCTGCGTTCACGTCCTGGGACTTCCGGAGCACACTGTGCACATGTACGTGATCCAGGCCAGCTGGGAGTGGGGGTGGATCGTGGAGTGAAGACCCTGTTGGAGATTTCTGTCTTTGTCTCTCATGAAAGAAAGAGAGAGTGAGAGAGAGAAAAGACAGAAAAGACAGAAAAGAGGAAAGAAAGAGAAAGAAAGAAAGAAAGAAAGAAAGAAAGAAAGAAAGAAAGAAAGAAAGAAAGAAAGAAAGAAAGAAAAGAAAAAAAAAGAAAA